GTAGGTTTTGTATGAAAATTATGTAAATTTGCACATAGTGTATATAATGTTAGAGGATTATATTAATCATATGATGATGCTGTGATATTTAGCACCGGTTACTTCGATGCTCAATAATGAGATTGAATATTATGAACACTTAATTTATATTTCTTATTGACAGCAGCATAAGTGCTGCTCAGGCTAATCATGCAACACAAAAATAAGATTTACAAAAGGCAAGTATGTACATAATCACATCATTATTGTACAAAAATGTGGTATGAAAAGTTGATTGTGTGCATTAGAAATGGAAATAAATACATTACAGATATTCTTGACCTTTCGTTTCCTGAAGTCTGCCAATCTCGAAGTACTTAGTGTACTAAACCGTTCGTCACTAAAATGACAGGTTTAAAGTCTGGACTCGAAATTTTGTGGCCAGACGAAAATTTATCTTTGACCGAGATTCGAACCACCGACCTTCGAGTCTCTGGTGCCGCACTGCTACGACGCCACGATATAGGTCGCCCGCCATGTAAGAGTCATGGACTTATGGTTCGGATAATGCTGTCTGTGGCGTGGCCGCATAGGTTGTAGCTACAAATGCCTAGCTACTAACAGGGACGTCTAAACCGCCCTTAGAAAAACGGTTTCGTAGCACCTAGTCACTCTAAAACAACAGTACGAATTAATTCGGTAAGTGTACGGCATTCTCACACTTCGATTTTCGATGGTTGTCAGAACCACAGTGATGGCATTGTGACATGTTTTCTTCGACCGCTTTCCGAAAACGTCCCGCCTGGGGGATAGACAACCCAACGTACATTTTCTACTCTAGACAGCCGCCTGGTTGGTAGACAACCCATCGTGTACCTGGAAACGGCGCATACCTCCGAGTTGTATTTTCATTTTACGTCCCTGTATGTGGCCACAAATCCGGCAGACAGGGTATGCCTCGCCCGAACTAGAAATGTCGACCCTGAGATCAACTCAACTCCCGGTCGGAGCAAACTTAATTTTTTGGCGCCTCTTGTCTCCCCTTAGGCAGGACCGAGGTCAAAAACACAAACAGGGAAAGGGCGAGCTGGCAGCCGAGTGCATAAAAGCGTGCTTGTTGGCAGAGCGTGGGGATGGTCGGAAGTTCGAATGCCGTCCTCGGTTATTTCTCCTGGTCTGTTGGCCAAGTGTCTTTGGGCGTCAGCAGTAGCTGAGATATGGATGCCGCCGGGAGCTGTGCTCTATCGTTTCCTTCTTGGCTAAGACGGTAGCGTCCGGACAAGCATATAGCTGCACACTGGTTCGAATCCCATCTCGATGATACTTTTAGCGCGCCGCTGGCCATGACTTTTCAGAGTCGCTGGTTCGAATCTCGTCGATGGAACCCATTTTGTCCTTCTGCCGGGTGTTTCCGGGTGTGAGCCTCAGCGGAGAAAAGCTTTGCTTTTGCAACAGCCTCATTGGAGACCATCCAGAAAGTACATCCGATTTTTCTAAGATTCGTTCAGCGAAAAAGGGAAATGAGCGCCTGCGAGGCTTAAGGTAGGCCAGCCCGCAGAACACACATGCACTACATACGAGGAGTTGCCTACCCACCAGGCGCTCCGAGAGCTTGCACAGGATGAACTTGGCAGTTTTGGAACAGCGAATCACGGACGTACTTTGTGGATGATCCCGGCTCACATCAGATGGTAGTGCGCGTTTTCCGCATAGGCGGGTGGTTGCAGGTTCGAGTACTGTGCACAGTTTTTCCCGTTTTTTTTTGTTTTTTTTCGGCATCCGAATGAACTGACCAGACATGCAGTGAGATGAAGGGTGAACCTGACCGACCGGGTGGCTGAGGAGTGGGGGGAGCTGCCACTCCTCCGCCACCCGCCCCGCGCCTGCAGCCCCTGCTGCCAGTGCATAGGCAACCCAACGTACTGGCATGTAAGAGCCGGGACACCCGTTACACACAGATCCAGCAGCAGTTCGCCCAGCCCGCCTTCGCCACCGAGGCTTCATACAGCAATGCTCCCAAGTGGCGCATCCTGTCTCAGGTTCAGGAGACTGATCCTTCGGGCCCCTACAAGCTGAGCTACTCCACCGAGAATGGCATCCAGGTTGGCGAGGAAGGTTCTGTCGTGTCCAGCGCCGAGGGCCCCGTTATCGCTGCGCAGGGTCCCTACTCGTTCACCGCGCCCGACGGCGTCGCTTACTCCGTCAGCTACGTCGCCGATGAGAATGGCTTCAGGGCATCTGGTGACCACCTGCCCACTCCTCCACCAATCCCCGCCGAAATCCTCAAGTCACTCGAGGAAAACGCGGCCAGCGGCGAGCAATACGATGACCAAATACTTTATCAAATAAGTCCAACGAGAAGCAGGTAGGGATTGAGGAGGGGGAGAATCGCCCCCTGTTAGCCGGACCTTAATCCGCGCCTGACGAAAATCTATAGCGAAGAAGGGTGACATTTGCTCGTGCTCATACGATTATTTTCCCCGAATCGAAGACCAAGTTATGTATACATACTAATAAAAGAAATATTTTCAATAAACAATATAATAGCTCGCAACGTTGTTGTTTTAACTTGTTTGAATAAGACGCTACTGGCTACTGTGCGTCGAGGAAACGTTAGGGTCTATCCTTTTAAGAGGTCGCTCGGACGCTAGGCGCTAGGCGATAGGGGCTAGGCGGTGGGTATTTGGCTAAGGCGCTAGTCGCTAGGCGGTGGGTAGCGAGCTAAGACGATAGTCGCTAGGTGCTACATGTTCCCAATTTTTGCGGTGGTTGGGGCAGAAATCACACGCTAGTCGATTTCCCTTGTAGCGCCTAAAGGCTAGCGTGTGATTTCTGCCGTCTCCTAAGGTATCCTGTCTCCTGGTGCGTGGGCTTCAGCTAGTTCGGCTGCTGCGCGCGCGCCCCACCGTGTTTTGTTTTCTTATGCGTCTGGCAGGGCCTGAGGGCTCGCTCCCCGCCAGGGGCGCGCGGAGGCGGTGAAGGCGCGCCGCTCCGCTCCGACCGAGACGGGGCGGGGCCGAGCCAACCCAGCGACAGTGTTTCTAACCTTGTGTCAAAGTGCAGTGATCAGTGCAGTGCAGTGCAGTAATTGTGTATGTGAGTGTCGTGCAATGTGTTGTGTCCTGTGTGTGTTTTGTCATGTAAGGCAGGGTGCGCAAAGTGTAGGGGACGCCACCGGGGGGCGCGCCGGACGAGTCTGAGCGTTGCCCGGTGTGCCCCCCCCCCTCCTCCCCTGTTCCTGCCGGAGTCGGGCTGGCGCGAGCTGGACCGGCGGGGCCGGGGGAGGGGGCGACCGCGGCTGGACGCCCGCGGACCCCGCGACATCGGACGCTGCGGGAGCACACCCTCGGGAAGGCGCAGCGGAATGCCAGGTTCGTGGTGGCAGCACAGTATCTTGCAAACAGGGTTGAGATGTGTGTGCGGGGGCTGCGGCAGTTTAATTGCATCCGCCCACCGTCATTGTCCTTTGTGTGTGCGGGGGGCTGCGGCAGTTTAATTGCATCCGCCCACCGTCAT